GCTTGGTTACAATGGCTTGGATCCTTGAATCTGTAGCTCAGGATACAGCCTGCCCTGCCTTTTGGGACTGCATCTACAAGACACAGTAACCACTGAGAGCCCAATCCAGCATGGGAAACAAGTGGGATTTCATCCATGGAGTGACAAGACCAGGGCCTGGCTAGCACAACCAGGATGCAAGACAAACCTTAAATGCTGAAGTAATAATGCCCAGGTAATATTAGTTACCTGAGGGGTACAACCACAGAGCAATATGCCCTTTGTGTGCTCTGCTTTCCTTTTGCAGGTGGTTGGAGAATATGAGAAGATTCTTTTTTATTGGCCTTCCCTCTTGTGCCTGGTCTTCTTGTTGGGCCGGTTTGTGCACATGTTCGTGAAAGGCATGAGGGCTCACTTACACCAGGAGGTGCCAAAGGTGAGTGTTTGTGGGCAACTGCTCCCAGCTTGTCACTCTTCTGTGAAAACTCCTTCCCTGGCCCTGAGTCTAAGTAGGGTTAACTGCTGCCAGGGCCTCAGGCTGGTACTCTGCACCTTTCCACCAGGGCGAATTGGCCTGCCTGGTTTCACACCAGAGGCCTCAGTGCATTTCCACAAGTCATCTATCACCTGTTCTGCCAAGAGAGTCCATTAAAAAGTCAAATCTCACCATCCAGCCCTCTGCAAAGAGTCTCACACGCTGTGGGCAGACTGTGGCAGAGCCCAGGAGCACAGTGGCTCACAGTTAGGGGGTGAGTGCTCCAGCCTTCTCCCCACTCCAGGAGAATGGTGGATGGTCTCTGCGTTATTCCTTCCTTGCCCTTCATTTCCTCAGGACTGTTACTCCATCATGCATTCACTCTTCAGCTCCCAGTGCCAAGTGGTGTGTGAACAAGCATCAATCCCAGTGTCTGGAGCAGCAGCACTGGGCAGTCATTGCTTCCCTGCAGCCTCCCGCTCACAGTCAGGGCTCGGTCTTCATGCATGCCTTCCTTCCTCTTCTCTGGGACACTCCACAGAGGGCAGGTGTGGGCAGGTAAAAGAGGCACTGCCCAGAGCTTCAACAGGAGGAAAAGGCGTGGTTCCACCTGCCCAGCAAAAGGCTTGTGCTGGGCTCTCTGCCCTTCCTCCTTCCCTCACCTCCTGCTGCATCTCACTGAGCTGGGAGGCTGAGGCAACAACTCAACACATCCAAAAGGGGCATGCCCACCAGAGCTTCCCTGGGCTCAGTGTGGAGGTGCCAGTCCCCAGAGGTAGGCAGTGAAGGAAGAGTGGGGTGGGGAATGGAGCCCAAAAGCCATGCCAGATGAGGTTTCCTTGCACCCACACAGTGGCTGTGAGGCTATTTCTGAAGAAGACCTACTTTCTTCAGCCTTCTTTCTCATGTTCACACTACCCCTCTCCCATTCCTTTCAAACAGGAGGACAAACATTTCCTGGAGGCACATCTGGCCCAGCATGTCAAGCAGCTATTCCAGAAGCTCCCACAGCAGTAAGCATGGATGGCTGCTGCAGCACTGTCACCTCAGACCAGGGGTCTGGTGGGCACCTAAATTCACTGGTGCTTTTTGACTGATTGGGGAGGCTGGGGCTCTGCTTGTCTGGGGAAAGGTGGGTTCTCTGGCTATGGGAGGAGGCATGTGGTGAGGAAGAGTCCCAGTCATCCAGGAGGTGATGTGTTATGTCCCCTCTGAATCCCTTGCAGACAAGGGTGAACAGAGCACAGTGGCACCTTCCCATTGACCTTCATAACCCTTTTCCCTGTGGCCACATTGCCCTATCTGCCTGCCCAGTGCACAGCAGGGGGAAGGGCCTGCCCTTGCAGCAAAGGCAGTGGAAGTGGGGGAGCTCCCAGCATGAGCCCCCAGTGGCTTCATCTGGAGAGCAGGTGGGCGTGATGTTGGCCCCTGTTTGGGGCCGGGCAGATCCTCCACCAACAGCTGTTGTGGGCAAGGGAGATGTGGGGTAGGCAGGTGAGATAGGGTGCTTTTATGGGTAGGGCAAGAATGGTGCTGGCATGGGGTTTGGGCCCTGAAAAGCCCTGGCTGCTGTATTCTGTCATTTCAGGCCTCTTTGTCCATCTCTGAACAGGCAGGCTCAGAAATCTTGGTTCCAGCGGAAAGTGTATGAATGGGACCCATGCTTCCAGTTCCCTGGAAGAATGATCTGCACTTCTGTGCTGTCCTTAATCTGCCTGTACATTGTGAGTAAGGTGTACACTTATTTCCCAAGGAGAATTGGCCCAGACAGAAAATAATGTAATACAGCCCTCTGTGGTCACTGAATGCCACGAGGGTGGGCAAAGTGTCACATGGAGCCACTGGCTCTACTGGGGCCACAACTTGTGTTGTACTGGTCTCCAGGCCAGGGTGGATGGGTATTGGGAGGAATCACTCTCTTCCAGGTTCCAGACCAAAACCTTGCCCAGTGTCATGTGAGATGCATGACACTCCTGTGGATCCTGTGCATCTCTGATTCATTTAGTTTATAAGGTGCATCTCTACCCTGCTTTGTGCTAGACTTCACACTAACACAAGTAACTACCTCTCTCCTGTGGGCATATTTATATTACGTAATTGCCTGTGAATATTAAAGAATTTGTTCGGTTCTGGGCTTCCATGCCCTCCGTATGGAGGGGATGTGAAGAATATTCCTCGAATCACAGAGATTGTCCCCACCTATTAGATGTCATCTATATGGCAGGCTAAATCCCAGGAGGTGAAAGGTAGTGTAATTTTGTTTTTGTCCAAAAACTAGCGTGTTCAAAGTGAAATGTAACAGGGCAGACCCCAGTGGATTCTCACCAGAAGCGAAGGCACTGCCCCATAGCCATCCAGCAGAGTATGTCAGTCTGTCAGTCTGGTCAATGGCAAGGATGCTAGTTGCTAAGCTGCTATTTCTATTTGTTTCTCCCCCAGTTTATCATTATTGAGTTTTACATTTACAAACATGTCTCTCATGAACTGGAGATACTGGAGGGGAGTTTTGAGGAACTTGGTGCTTCCATCAATACCTCAGAAGTACTTAAACCAGCTGTCCTGAAGATGAAAGAGCTTATTAATGTCACCCAAGGTACAGATGTGTCATTTTTTAGAAGACAGAATGCGTATGATATTAAAAGCATTAACTGCACTTACTGGTTGCCTGAGGGCCAAATTCTATTCCACCTGTTAGGTGCAGAAGTGGACTTCAGTGCCTAAGTGTGATTTTATTCCACCCTGCTTGAGTTCCTGAAAAAACTGTTAATACAAAAGGTGGGTGAGCCCTCCTCCTCCTCCTTGCTCCTGCTTTGTGATTTGTTCTTAAGGGTAAGATGATGGCATGCTACAAAAATAGATGGATTTTCAGGAACTTAAACAGGGTGGAACAGAATTGCACTGAGACATTTAAGACACCCAGTAGGTAGGAAAGACTCTGGCCCCCAAAGGTCAGCAGGGAGCGTGAGACTCATCTAGCCTGACCCCTGAGCAGCCCAGCCCAGAGAATTCCACCTGATCACTCCTACCTTAAATGCAGGTGGTGCCTGTGTGGCTGAACTCCAGCAACCTTTCTGAGAAGCGTTTGGTCTGGATTGAAATCCTGCAAGAGCTAGAGAATGGCAAGACATAAACAGGAGGGATTTCCAAGTCACTGCTTGAATCTGGCTCAGTGGAAAGATGCTTCATGTTATTTGTAGACAAGGTTCCTTGGGTGAATTTGATATCTTTTATTAGACCAACCCAAATAGTTGGAGAATAGTTATTAAGCAAGCTTTCGGGTTCAAAAACCCTTCGTCAGGCTAAGGAAGTTTCAGCAGTTGGTGTGTGCTCTTCCTTCATGTTATTTGTAAAACACGAGGTATCAGAGGTCAGTTTAGATGTTGGTAAGTTGCCCTGTTACAAAAAGCACCATCAGAGCTGAATGATTTGCAGCTTTCATCTTACCTATTTGGCTATCTCACAGGTGAGTCAAGGGCTAAATGGGCATGGCAAGTGAGGTACTATGGTGGGAGAGCAAGGAAGGAAAGTGAAATGAAGGTTATTCCTTCCATTTGTGCAAGTATTAGATTCTCCTATTTCAGTTTTGCCCAGTGTATGCTTGGCTCTGAGTAGAGAGTGCTGGTCCAGGGTTTTGGGTTGTGCATGGTTTTATAGTTCAGTGATTAGATCACAGCATTTCTGAGAAATGAGAAGGTGGTGGCGTAGACATGGGCCTGATGCTCAACCATATGGAAAATGAAAAAGACAAAAGGTGTTCTCTATTGACATGTGTCCAAGATGCAACAGGGGAGTGTGTGCAGTAGCCGTGATCACTGAAGCGAGTTCAAATGCTCTTGCAATTGGGTCACAGGAGCTGTGGGAGGAACAAAGATGATGGTGGCTTTTTTCTCCAGGTGCTTGGATTTTCACTATTTTCTCTGCCTTGCTGACATGCGTGAGCTACGTGTTTCACATCTTAGCCTGCTACAGGTATGGAGTTGCAGCAAATTTTCAGCACATTTTGTGCAGCGGTGTGGAAAGTGTTCAAGCACCATGGAGTTTACTGGGCCTGGAGGGATTTTACTGGGACTGGGACTACATAGGCAGTTCCCTATAGGTGTTTGAACCATTCCAGGATGGTTGGGCTGGGCACCTTAGTTTCCTCCCCTCTGAACTCAATGGACATTGTCTCTCCTCCCTGGGTTTCTTAGTTCCAGGCTCTGACTTCTAGGAAAGAAACTCCAACCCACCCAGTTTTCCAGTGTTATATAATTTGTGAACTGAGCCATTCAGCTAAAAATAGAAAGAAGTTCATAAAGCAATATTAGCAGAAAATGGGTTAATAACGCGTTGGGCTAATTATCAGGTGATAATGCTCCCCCAAAACACAACTTTTCGACAGCTTCAAAACACAACTTTACATAGTCAGACAGGAAGGCAGCAGGGCTTGCTTTGCTATTTGCAAACAAAGTATTCTTCATCTTAGTGCCAACAAATATTAACAGGTATTTCAGCCAGACAACTGGTATCAGAGAGGCAAATCACTCCTAACTTGCAGTGAATATTTAGATTACAGCTCTGGTGCTAGTTGAGCCTGTCTGCCTGCACTGTAGGTACTTTAGGCAATAGCCAGTGAACATGTCTACATGAAACACTACTGTGCAGTGATTACTGCACATTTGTTTAGTACTGATATTAACAACTACCAAATAAATTCACAGTAATCAGAGTTACTGTGCAGTAGTGCTGGCAAAAGTCTTTTAAGTGATGCTACTGTGGAGTAGCCTAATAATACTGTGCAGTAGCATATTAACATTGTCTGTGCTGTGATGCTCTACTGCTCAGTATTATTCAGCTAGTGTGCAGTCAGCGTCTCATGTAGACATGCCCCGTGTCTACCAGTACAATGTTAGATTGTCTGAGACATTCCAATGGTATAAAAACCAGAATTTAAGTGAAAACAAGTTTTTCAGGGCTTAAGAAATAAAGGCCAAATTACATTCCACCTATTGGGCATCTAAGCAGACTTAGGTGCCTAAGTGTTATTCTATTCCACCCTGTTCAGGTCCTGATCTATGAGCCATAAAAGCAGCAAGGAGGAGGATGCCTCACTTACCTTGTGCATTAACAACTTTCAGGGACTTTAGCAGGGTGGGACAGAATCACATTTATGTGAATCACACCTTTATACCAAGTGTCAAAGATGCAGCCTGCAGAGCCATGTCATCCAGCCCATGGGGCTCCCGGAGGGGCTAGGAATTCAGTGGTGGGGCAAGCAGGGGCAGAGGCCCATGACCAAATTCTGGAGTATGGCGCCTTGTTGTGGGGTGCATGTTTTGGAGGCAGCAGGGCAAGCAACAGTTGAATTAATTTCCATGGCTCCTTGAGCCAACATAGTGGCTCAGACACCTGCAGCTGTTAATGCCACTACTTTTCTTCTCACTGCAAGAGATGGGTCTGGATCCAGCCCAGGTAGCCAAGCAAGTTTGACACCCCTGCTATACTATGAAATTGTTCACTATAAGACTAGCATAGGCTTTTGATGAAGTACTCTCTTCCTCACGTTGATTCTGAATTTTGCAACATTCTCCCCTGCTTAAACAGAAATGCATCCACTACCAGAAGTGACTGAGTGAGGTGTGGGGATGCTAAGGCAGAAGGGTATCCCTACTAATAGAAAGTGGTGAAAAGATTTCTAACAAGGCTGCACCTTAAGAAGGATGGGTTGCAGTGACTCTCATGGTTTTATTTAGTTTCAGGACAATAGCACATGAGTGAAAGGATTAGCTAGTGATCCAGCTGGTATACAGAGGTGGGCTTGCTGGCTGCGTAAAGGTTTCTTGTTGGTAGATATCCTGTCTTAGATTTTGCTAAGATATTGCTGGATTCTCAACCCTTGGTGACTGGCAGAGAGGAAAGAAGCCCATGTCTTGTTAAGCAGAATTGCATCACATGACCAGAAGCCAGAAGCTAGCTGATTGCCAGAAGCAATGGTTCCTTCTCTCCTTTGGGGTTTCAGGATTGTGACTTGGCTGGTTTCTCTCCCCTGAAACTCCTGCTCAGAATTTTCTTGGCCAGTCCGAATGGGACATGTTTCCTCTGAACTCTGAATGTCAGGTGATCTGTAAATCAGTCAGGCTGCCAATACAGAAATATGTTATTTTGGGAGATAGGATCAGCTCTTCCTATTCATGGGACTGTGCACAGACATTATTTCATCCATCCTGAACAAGGTACAACTCAAGAACACAAAATCAATTGGAACAAGGACAGAGCTAGCAAAAGCTGGAACTGAAAACAAAGGCAATCAATCAGTCACATGCACCCAGCTACTCATGCAAAAGAATGTTCTTGTGCAAAGATTAAGCTGCAAATCCTACTGTACAGATACCTACTTCCCTTTTGTATTGTGGTGTTCAGCAACTCAGCCTTGAACAAGAATGTTGACTCTCAAAGACTGGGTTGAAGGTTAGACTTTGAACCCTGTCAATGTAAAATGCCTTTGACTCTTAAAATGGTCATTTTGGGTCCAGTTTTGGTATGAAGCCTCTGCTGTACTAACACTGGTAAATTTCTCAGTGAGGCAAAGCATCAGCCTTCCATGCCGTGTTTTATGGTGGTACAAGCTTTCTGAGATGATATTGTGAGCTGCTTGCCTCACAAGACATACTTTGTTTCATCCTGGTTCACTCTGGCAGTGGCCACGTCTACACAAGATGCTGACTGTGCAGTAACCTGAGTTTCTGTTCAGTAGCGCCGATGAACATCTTTCTTATGATGCTACTGCACAGTAGCCTCATACTAATGCACAGTAGCGTTGCATCACTGTTTTTGCCACGTGACATTGTCGTGCAATGGTATTGGGCTACTGCACAGTCAGCATCTCATGTAGATATGACCAGTGTGTTTACTGCAGTAGAGCACTGTAGGTTTAGCTCTGAATACCCATTCCACCTTGACCTTAATTGAGGTAACTGCTCCATCACCTGTCTGATTAAACATTCAGAACCACAGGATAGTTCCTGAGTGAATGAAGTCTGATTTAGAAATTTATAAAATAAATGTGCATACCTTTTCTAGAAAACACATGAAGCGACTGTGGGCTGGAAAGAAAGATTTCCTTCCATTGATGTCACGCCATCCTTCTTCCTCTCAGAGTGTTGTAAGTTTGCCTTGTGTTTCCTTGAAAATTTCCATTCAGCCTGGTCTTGCTCAGCACTTGGCAGTCAATGGCACCAGCCTGTATGAAAACAGTTGTGTATGCGTTGGCTTTTGTTGTTGTTGTTGTTGCAGGAGAAGGCCCATGGTTTGATAGGGCACTGCAAAATCCCACTGGCCAAGTTTCTAGTTGGGCTAAAATCGTTATTTGATGGTTTCACCTTGTAAGACCAAGATAAAGGGTCTCTATGCCTGCTTTGTGCCAAAAACAACCTGAAGTGCAACTCAACAATGATTCAGCCCAGGCAGCAAGGGGAAAGAAAGAGTATGGTTCCTACAACCTAGGTGGAGAAATATTCAGCAAGAAAACAAAGTGTGTACAGACTGATTTTAAAGTATGGTTTTGCTGAACTCTCCAACTCCCAGTCTAACTGAACATTACCTTCTTTCCAGAAAGCAGCACTGTGAGTGCCACCTCCACCCTGCAGTGGGGCATTTGGGCACTGAGGCATCCTACCATGTCTCATACCTCAGGGCTAGGGACAGACATTACACATAAACTGGTTTAAGTGATCAGAAACTGGTTTAAACTTGTAACAGAACAGATGTTCAGTGCACATAAACCAGTTTGAAAATGGCTGAAACTGGTTTGAGATAAACTTGGTTGACTGTAGTATCAGACTTAACTGATTTGGGTCAAACCAGTTTATGCAATTTCTGTCCCAGACTCCTTGCTGGTTTAAGATAAACCAGGCACCACGAGCATCCTGGCATGTTCTCTGGGCTGGGCGGGGCTCTCTGCTCCATAAAAAAGCTGGCCCCTCCCCTTTGTTCCCTGGCTGCACCTCCGGCAGAGACTGCTCCCCACTCCCCCTCACCACTCTCTGCTAAGCAGGAATTCACCTCTGCCTTGCAGAGAGATGTCTGTGTATCAGCTAGCAGACCACATGCTGGCTATGATCTGTGCTGAGTCAACAGGTAGCTGGTAATATCCCTGTGTTGTTTTCTTAATGGGGTGATAAACACAGAGTTAAGGGTGATAAACACTGTTATCAATTCCCTGCTGGGCTAATCAGAGCATCCTGTTGGGGCCTGGCCACACTCTGCTCAGCTCAGCTCTGTGGAAGTAGAGGGAGGGCTGCTCTAGCGCCCCCTGGCTCCCCCTGCTTCTAGCCTGAGCCACTGCAGGCATGTGCCTGCATGTCTGGGATATCTGTGTAGTTACAAAGTGATTTAGCCTAGCCAGGTTAAACTAACCTGCAAAGATTGAATCAATTCAGGCCCAGGCTTTTTGAATGTCTGTCCCTAGCCCAGAAATCAGGCTTGGCCATGTCATGCATGCTGTGTTCCTAAACGCATGGTGTTAAGAAGTGCTTCCAAAAAGAACAGGCAATCCTTGAGTCTCAGAATGGAGGGGCTGCATTGCACAGTGTTTATTTCCTGTTAGGTGCTGAGATGTGGACCACAAGCATTTGCTAGGATGTGGGAGAGGGAGCCCAACATACTAGCTGGATTCAGTTGTATGGGGTGGCTGGTGGGGGGTGGGGCTGCAAGCAGAGCATTACGTGTGGAGCATGTGTGCCAAAGGAATAGTTCAAGAGGCCTACTCCCTTCAGCAGCAGACCTTCTCACTGGTGGTAGGAAGAACTGTGCACTTCCCTAGTTTGTGGTGAGGAGAGTTACCTAGAGTCAGACTCTGTATGCAACAACCCCTGGAGGCAGGAGAGAGAGGCCTAGTGCTTTGATGGAAAATAGACCCTGTTTTCAGCATGTCCTTTCAAACCAATACCTTGAGCTCGGTATCAATCAATGGGATCATGGTGATTGTGCCCTGCTGCTCCCTGTCCTCTTCCGTGAAAAACATCTCCACTCAGAAGTGCGGAAAGTTGCCCTGCAGGTCATCCATACTCTGGTAACCTGTAACACATGAGCATGCATGTTACTTCCCCTCTGCTGTTCTCCCAGCCCAGGAAGCTAAACCCAGTTGGCACCCTGTGCCATGTATGTGTGCAAGGCCCAGGTCACCACAGCGGCTGGCTATGAAGTGCAACCACTTCAATGTCCTGAACTGCCAGGCCCTAAATAGGAC